GAGGAAATGAGCAATGGGTCCCTGAGTTAATAAACCACTCATTGAATTTTCTCCTCAACCCACAGGTTCTCACTTCCCAGTATGGACAAAAATGATGGCTCACAGTAAACCTAGCAATCTCAGGGAGCCTGGCATAGCATAGCCAATCTTGCAAACTCGGAGGCTAAAAGTACCCATATAGGATGCTTTGAAGTTAAAACTTGCCAAGTAAAATCTAGTCACAGGAGTATTTATGTCCTAGTCTGTTTTGTTGTGTGTGTGTGTGTGTGTGTGTGTGTGTCTGTGTGTGTGTGTGTGTGTGTGGTTTTTTAATTTTTTTCAAGTTGCAAATTTCACCTTAGTGAGCCTGTCTTGTCTTTTTGCATCTGGGATAACATACCTTTGGATTTTCAGGGACATTTCTGTTTCACAGACTCCTAAGAGCACAATCTCCGAACACAGAAGATCACAGAGCCCCAATTGTTGTTATTGTGTTAAATATTAACTGTTACTAATCACATAAACTTAAAAAGAAGTTTATGTCTTTTTTTTTACTTTTTATCCAATCCCAGAGATTTCCCTCCTTAGTCCCCCCCCCCATTTTATCACCAGTGAATGTCATGTAAACCATTTATGTCTTCTTCTTTAGTCTCATGTATAAAAAAGGTGCAAAATTGAAATTTTACCAAGCAATTTATTTTTCCTAATTCCTGGCAATTTATTTTTATTCTACTTCCTGGCACTGTTACCGGTTTGGGTCACATAAACGTAGGAAAATTCTCCACAAGTCTGTACATTACTTACAACATCACCAAAAGCAAATTGACTCATGTGAAGCAGGAGAAAGTTACATGGACGGTTATCAGCATTTCCAGAGACTCAACTGACTGAACACAGATTAATAAACACAAATTTAGAGCACACTCAGAACACAGCAAGGTAGTGTTTTCCCACTGCTTTTAGAGAAGAGAAGAAAATGCTCAATGCTCAGGTGACTTGGTTGTGTGTGTGTTTAGTTCTTATCAGAAGCTGTTTTTTCTTTTTCTTTTCCCCCTCCTATTCCTTTCCTCTGATATTCTGTACTCCCGTGCTTCCATGTCTCAGAATCCACTCCATCCACCACTTTATTTTGTTAATTACAATTCCTATATGAGGGAGATCAAGTGATACTTCTCATTCTCTGACTGACTGATTTCACTTGGTATGATGCTTTCCAGGTGCCTCTATGCTGTTTGTAAGTGTAAAGATTCTTCTTTTTTAATTTATTTTTTATTAATTAAACCTTTATTGTTCAGATTATTACATTTGTTCCTCTTTTCCCCCCATAACTCCCTTCCTCCCAGTTCCCACCCCACCCTCCGCCCTCACTCCCCACCCACTGTCCTCATCCATAGGTGCACGATTTTTGTCCAGTCTCTTCCCCCATCCCCCACCCCCAAGAATAGCCAGTCCACTCCC